AAGGGCAATGATCGATTTGGGTGATAGTGGATAAATTGACTAAATCGAGTCATTTCTTGCCAAAGAAGATCAAACATCCCATGCAGAAGTTAGCTGAGATGTATATCAAAAAGATTATGAGATTACACGGTATACCTTCGAGTATCGGGTCAGATAGGGATCTGAGGTTTACGTCAAAGTTTTGGAAAGGTTTGCATAAGGCTTTTGGTACTAAGTTGAAGTTGAGTTCTGCTTACCATCCATAGACGGACGGGCGAATGAAGAGGACTATCTAATCATTAGAAGATTTGCCAAGGGCTTGTGTGCTAGAACAAAGAGGTGCTTGTGATAGCCACTTGCCATTGATTGAGTTTACATACAACAACAGTTTCCATGTTAGTTATGGAATGACACCATATGAAATGTTATACGGTAGAAGGTGTAGGACTCCGTTGTGTTGGTATGAGTCAGGTGAGAGTATTGTGCTCGAACCTGAGATTGTGAAGGAGACGACTGAGAAGATCAAGATAATCCAATAGAGGATGAGAGCTTCGCAGAGTCGTGAAGAGTTATCATGAAAAAAGGAGAAAGGAACTTGAGTTCCAGAAAGGGAGTTCACAATTTTTTGAGAGTTACTCTAGTAACTGGTGTTGGTAGAGCTTTGGTCACAAAAGCTTACGCCATATTTTTTGGTCCATATCAGATTTCAGAGATGATATATGAGGTGGAATATCAGATTACTTTACTTTCGTCTCTTGTGAATCTTCATGACATGTTTCATGTATCTCAGTTGAGGAAATACATTTTGGATCCTTCGCATGTGATCCAAATTGATGATGTACATGTGAGAGATAACCTGGCAGTTGTAGCATCGCCCCGTGCGGATAGAAGGTCAGAAAAAGAAGCAGTTGTGGGGAAAAGAGATTTCCTTGGTGAAGGTACTATGGGGTGTACCAGCTGGTGGAAGTTTAACTTAGGAGCGTGAGGATCAGATGAGAGATTCGTACTCAACTCTGTTTTCCTCAGGTAATTTTCGAGGACGAAATTTCTTGAAGTAGAGGAGAGTTGTAACACCCCATAATTTAGAATTATTTATTTGATTGATTATTAGTGATAATCTGTGTGATGTATGATGATATATGGTGGGGATTTATTGAGAGAGATATGATAATTAGAATTATTTAGATTTAACTAATTTTAGTTTATATTGTTTAGAATTATTAATAATAATTAAATAGAATATTAAGATGAAAAGAAGAACAAGGACATAATGGTAAGTGTGTATGAGCTAAGTGAGGGCATAAGGGGAATAACATAAAAAGGTCTAAGGAGTAACAAACAAAAAGAGAAAATAAGAGCGATAGGTTCATTCTGTACGATCGTAAAATTTGGGAGTACGTGAAGAGAGGCTAGGACTTATAGAGGACCAATAGGAGAACTCCATATAACGAAAAAGAAGAGAATCAAATCGCTATAAATTCTAGGTAAGGGGTGTAATCAGATTTATTATGATTGATAGGGGTTAAGGTAGATGTAGGGTTTTGTTTGTATGATGATTTGGTGAAAATCATGATGAATTATATGTTGAAATTGTGCGATGATGATGTATGTATGTTATGATTTATGTCTATAATGATATAATGATGTGTTTTGATGTTAATATATGGTGTATGTTGATAAAAATACATTTTGGACTGAGTATGATGCTTGAAGTCAGAATTGGTATAGTTTGGACAAAAGTGAAATCGCAACTGAGAAGTTGTTGAATTGCTAGCATCGTCGGATGAGCCAGAGGAAAGCAAGAGGTGAGCCAATTGCCCCAGCATTATCGGGCAAGCCAGCTAGCGAGGGGAATGGTGGAAAAGACAGCTCCTAGAAAATGTATGGGAGGGGGTCGTCGCTAGAGCTTCGTCGGGAGAGTGAATCAGCGATAAACCCAATTGCTCAGTTCGTTGGGCGAGCATCAGGCGAGAGGGGGGCGAGCATGGTGCCTCCAGTGTCACCGGGCGAGGCTTAGGTAAGCAATGTGGTAGTAAAAACTTCAAAGTGTCGTAACTTGAGTTTCAGGAGTCTATTTGACACATCGTTCGAAGCGTTAGGAAGCTAACGCACAAAGCTATCTTATGGCAGAATTGTATGAAGCATTTGGTGTATTATTCCTGTATTTATATATTTATGAGTTTGTATTATTATATATTGGGATACTATGATGTCTTGTTGAAATGATGTAACTTGATGTATTGTAATGATGTTACGATGGTGCTGGTATTTCATGATAATTGTGGTGATGTTTTAATGATGTACATGTTTAATGTGTAAGTATTCTATGTTAATATGATTATTTGAATGATTCCACAATTGACTAGCCGTGGTCGAACTTATTGTGACGTTGTTTTGTATCATACATTTATAACATTTTTGGACGGTGGTCCGCTTGTGATGAGCGTCAATCCCATTGTGAGAATTGAGTGCATTTTGTGATGTGTTATTTTTCTAAGAGAGAATCAATCCTATGGTGAGGATTATGGAGGGTGATGAAATAGATGTTCATAAATTTTGGTACTATATACATTGAGTCAGTGTTGTTGCATTAACATCTTATGTGATATTGCATGAATTCCCTTGATGAGTTATGATGTGACGATGATTGTGAACTATGTGATTTTATGATGATTTGATGATGAAAGATGTCTACGTGCTATTATGATGTATAGGTGAGTATGAAATGTTGATGAATGATATGAGTTGATTATATGATGATGTTGTTTACAACTACTAATCTTTTCCTTATATCTTTTATAATGAATCATGATTACTCACCCTTTCTGTTTGAATGTTGCCTTCACGTGGGTAACGTGCAGATGCTCAGGAGTAGCTGATAGAAGTATTGAAAATAGAGATTTTGGCGTATTTTATTAGTTTTGTTAATTAGAAGGTTTCTTGCTCTGATATGTAACATCGAGTTAGGAACACTTTATTTTGTGAATGTTATGTTCCTTTTTATGATGATATACTTTATGACGATTTTGATTGTTAAACTGATTTTAATTCCAATTTTTAATGAGATAAAAACATTATGAGTTTTGTTTTATGAAGAAGTTTATTTATGATGATGAATCTGCTGCGATGTTGTTGAATGACTGGTTTAAAGTATAAAGAGGTGTATTTACTATTGATGTAACCCATGTCACAGAGCATGATTGTTATTATGATGTATTTTATGAAGTGTGACACTATTGAGTGATGATTTTACTTGAATTATTTCGTAAATTATATGAAAATACATGTGGGGCTAAAAGGGTGTTACATGTTATGCATTGGACTCGAAATTAACTCCATTAATCTGATGTCTTTTACAGGGGTGTGTTTGGATCATTGGGTTAGATAAAGACAATAGACCCCACACCAAATTTATGCGACTTTCTTGCTTTTCTTTTGTTATAATCCAAATCAATAACATCAATTAACTTTCCTTTTTCTTTTTCATGTGCCCATTTTTAGCATGATATTCCTTCATTAAAATAAAAGATTTAGCATTAATATCTTTAACTGCATTAATAACTTTATCGTTGAGAGTTTTTTTTTCCCCTCTTAACTACTGGGCAGTGTCTATGATCTTCTCCGCTATCTTGTAAAAGTTGTACCCTCACTTTTTTGAAACAGATCCCATAATTGGTGTAACAAATAAATTAGCAACACCATTTGATATAGTCTTCACTATGTTAACGAATTTTCCCTTTTTCTTTGGCGTAGCTTTAACGATGCATTGTCTTGTGAAATGTCCATAATAACATCATATACGATGAAGTCCTTCATATTTCACTTGATACTATAAATTTAGGCAAAATACTCATTTTGGTCCCTTAACTATATCTTTGGGTTCACATTGGTCCCTTAACTTTTTTTCGTGTCATTTTGGTCCCTTAACTTTCAAAATATTTCATTTTAGTCCTTTTTGTCTAATTAGCTACGAATTTAGCGGCTGATTTCAAAGTTTTTCCGTCTAATTAGCTACGAATTTAGACAAAAAGGACTAAAATGAAACTTTTTGAAAGTTAAGGGACCAAAATGACAAAAAAAAAAGTTAAGGGACCAATATGAACCCAAGGGTATAATTAAGGGACCAAAATAAATATTTTGCCATAAATTTATCATCTAAAAATTTACCTACAATGAGTCCCCTCTCAAAATAATTGATCTCAAAATACTATGGCAACCCCTAAGATTCTATGTCATTAGTATACTTTAAATACATTGCAACAACTTTTAAATTTGTATTAGATATTGTTATCTATAATTAATAAAACAAAATTAATAATATTTAAAATATCTCTAATATAAATTATGTTTGGCAGTAAATAGCTTATAAATTTATGAGAGATTAAAGATAGTAAATTAATTAGTGTAAAATAGTTTTACATCATCCTCTATTAAAATTTTATATCACTATTTTAAAAATAAAAATGTGATTAAACTAAATACACAATGCATATTCTTTTTTCTAATGAAAGATAAACTTATAGATTAGTTGAAAAAAGATAACCCAGTTGATTGAATACTATATAGTATCATTAAAAGATTAACAACAGAGCATTGATTAAATTCTCCTGATGTTTTCTTATGAGATAAGTGATGTTATGATATGATAAACTTTATAAAAATATCATTTATAATTTTTTAATCAGAAATTTTCATATATTTTGTGGTTTTGAAAGAAAAAAACATGTTTTTAAAATCATTTATAACTTGAACTAAAAACCAACCACAAAAACTAAAATGCAATTCTAAATTAAAATAAATAACAAAAAATGTGGAGCTAAGTAATAGGAAATGAGGTAGTATTAAAAATACAAAATAAAAATATAAAGGTTGGGTCTCAAAATTAAGCTTCTTCCAGTTTCCATTTGCGGCATCCCCGAATAATTCTTTGGCATCTTTTCTATATTTCCTCTTTGTTCAATTTTTTCTCAGCTTATTTTAAGGTTTTGCACCACCGCTTCAATTTTCACCGATTTATCACTATGTCTTCTTCACTCGTCAAGATCCAAGACCTACACCTCCTCCCCAAAGATCTCCACAATCTTTCAATCAGAGATCTGGTAATTGTTATGAAGGTTTATTCTTCTGTATCATAGGTGTGTTTTTAGCGATTACTAGGTGATTTTGCTTGTTTGATGGTAAATTGCTTTTTCAATTTTCTATGCAAGTTTCAAAATTCGCGTGTTTGGGTTAATTCTTTTTTGCCACCATTACCTAATTCTTTTGATGTTATTTTTCTAGGGTTATCTGTTTTTTTTCCAAATGAATTGATGCATGTGTTTGATTCTATTGTTTATTTTTGCTATTGATGTTCAGAGTGGAAAGGTGAGTGAAGAAGAAGAGAATCAGCCTGTAGGATTTGGTAAACATGGAGGAATATGCGCAATTTGCTTAGACGTGATAGTGCTACAAGAAACTGCGCTTGTAAAAGGTTGCGAGCATGCTTACTGGTAAAGAAACAAACATATCTTGCTGTTACTCTTGGAATCAAGCTTATGGAAATCGTGTTTTCTTGCTTTACAAATTCTAACATATGTTTCAACAGTATGTATTTCTGTTCTGTTTTTAAACGTTTGCATGAGATTTGTGAACTCGGATAATATCAATGTAAATAGTTTTACAATACATCTAGCACGTGACATTTGTTAATTACTGACTAGTTTATGATGAATTTATGGTTGTGATTAAGGCATGAAAAACTTATTTATGATTACATCAAGTTGGCCTGGTTTTTGTATTGGTCTTTTTAATTAATAAAATTTGTAACTTGAGGTTAGCTTCTTAAAGTCTTATATGTTATATTAGATACTCTAGCCATGCAATTACCTTATCTGATTTCCCTTTAGGGCATGTTATATTAGATACTCTAGACATGCAATTACCTTATTTGATTTTCCTTCAGTGCGTCTGATTAAATTCTTTTGGTATTTTTTCTGAGATTAGTGATGGTCCGATGTATATTTGTTGAGTTTTAAACCGTAATATTTGATTTAGAGCTATTGAGGTTTAGATATTTTTCTAGGTGTTATGTAATTGTTTTTAATGGTAATGCTTTGTTTTTGTGTAGTATAACATGTATCCTTCATTGGGCCACATACAGTAAGAAAGTTACCTGCCCTCAGTGCAAACATCCATTTGAGTTCCTCGCTGTTCATCGCACTCTTGATGGAAGGTAATAGTACTTTTCATTTTTGTTTTTATATTTGATTTAGGTCTTATGGTTAAGAGTCCTACATCGGACAATATATGGCCTGAACATATCCTTATAAGTGGGGGCAATCCTCATCTTACAAGTCGGTTTTGTAGGGTTGAGTTAATCAAAGGAACTGAATTTGTTGAAAGGATGTCGCTGTGTCTATAGAATGGAAGCAGTCTTTCTTTAAAGGAGATACATGATGAATTGGATACAAAAACTATATATTTTGGAAATACCTTGGATACAAACTATATATTTTGGAAATACCTGTTTTATTAATATCTGTTTAAAAAATATAAAGATGAAAATTTTAGTGTCTGGTTTGAATTCCTTTGTATCCAATTCAATAGTTTAAATTGTTTTGGACTCCAGGAAGTATATTCCTTTGTATCCAATTCAATCATTTAAATTTTTTTAGACTCCAGAAAGTATTCTGAATAATTAGATGATTGCAATCTTGCTTTAGATGTTAACGGTTGCATTTTTCTCAAAATTCTCGGCTCCTTCAATTATGCTAAATAAAATACTACCATCTCCTGGAACATAAACTTTTTAAGTACAAGGAAGTATGTCAAACAAATAAATAGTCAAATTACTCAATTTCTTGTTCCTATTATACAACTTTATAGGTTAAATGTTGCATTAGTTTTCTTTTTGACAACTCAATTTCTCTTTGGCAATAATTTCAATGCAATGCTTAATTCAGAGAAGTGGCTGAAATTGTGTGCTAACTGCTTAACCTTTTATGCTTGGCAGTATTCAAGATTACATGTTCGATGAAAGTGTTTGCCTCCTACTTCGGGCCAAGTGGTTCAAGCCTTTATCTGTTGAAGATCGGGCTGTTGTTGAAGAAGATATCTATGCAGAGATAGAAGACTATTATTATCAGTATGAAGAAGCTGACGATGATCTAGACGACGACGAGGCTTACTATGGTGCTTCAGCAAATGTCCGTCTTGGCAACCGTAGATGGGGAGACAACGGTTTTGTAAGGGCTGGGCGTCAAGAAGCTCGGCCAGTCCATCGACCAAGCTTCCATGATTCAGGAGCGAGTTCATCGCGCGAGCCAAAGAAGAAAGAGCAAGAGTCTCCAAAAGTTATGACAGGAAGACGGGCAAAGAGGGCACTGAAAAGGGAAGCTGCTAATAAGGCAGCTGAAGTGAAGCACCAGAAGCATCTGGATAGGTTGGGTAGGAACTAGGAAGTGATTCTAATTTAATTATGTCAACCGAAGCCTCCTTCCCTGAAAATATATTTTTTCTTTTTTCTTCATTTGCATATTTTTTGTACAGTGTTCCAGTGGTTTGAAACATCTGATAGAACACATGGGAAGCTGTTTTTTTAAATAATGGCTTGGTTGATGCATCCTTAACTCACTGTATCATTGAGCAATTTAGGTTTTCAATAAGTAGTCAATACATCTCTTAGTTGTACATAATTTTCCTGGGATGATGATCTTGTACCTTTATGATGCTGATATCTTGTAATTTTTTTTCAAAGTTAACCATTGAAATAAAGAGAACTCCTACTGTGGAGATATCAAAGAAGTTGTGCCAAATCCTAGATTTAAGAATTGCTCTAACCTTTTACTCTAATGGTTTAGCTCTCTGTAAGAAGTTGTAATGAATCAAAATGTGTTAGAAAATCAGATTTATTGAGAAAAATGGCTTGTATGACTTTTAGCTTGAATATCCATTCTTCATTATTTCTACTTTCTATGATAATAAAGAAAATCAAAATGAAAAACAACAAATATTGTTTCTACGTTTCCATCATGGAAAGTAGGATAAAGTTTTCAAAGTGGGTCCTCCAATACCCATTGTAAGTGGAGCAAGTGAGTAATTGAAATGAAAAGCTACATTTTCAACTAAAGCAAAGAAAAGAAAATCTTCTAAATTACTACCCACCAAGAGAAATTGTTCCTAGCATTAATCAAGGTATATAAAAAATCTAAATATTTCTCCAACTCAAATTCTAAAATCAATACTGAGGTGGTAAAATGAACTCATAAATCGGACATTTTTTTCTATTTTATCTGTATTTTTTTTTAGAACGGATCAAAGTTTTATGTCTGTATTCTTTAATATGTCATTTTTTTAAAAATTTTTGCGGACACGGACATTAAAATATATTTCGTTAAATTTTAAATAATACCTGTTTACCACATTCAACTAACAAATTACGTCATCATAATTTTCCTTTTTGATTTTCATGCTTCATCCTTCATTTTTCCACCTACTTCACCACCACAAGTTCCTTAACCATCACTCCATTTCCATCATACAAACAGAATTCATTCATTCATCTTACACCACAAGGTTTACAAAATGAATTCATTCAACCAGAATCATCAAAGTAGCAGCTTCAGGTACAATCCAAACTCAAACAAGATGAACAATTTAGATGATGATGATGATGTTGAATTTTCAGGTTTTCTTGATATATATGTTCATCATGCTAAGAATATTCATAACATATGCATATATGATAATCAAGATGTGTATGCTAAATTCTCTCTTACTTATAACCCTGATGAAACCCTCTCCACAAGAATCATTAATAGAGGTGGAAAAAATCCAATTTTTAATCAAAATTTGAGGGTAAAGATTATTCAAGTGGATGCTGTTTTAAAATGTGAGATTTGGATGTTTAGTAGGTCAAGAAATCACTTAGAAGATCAACTTTTAGGGTTTGCTTTGGTACCAATTTCACAAGTTTTTGGTAGAGGAAAAGTGACAGAAGATTATAGTCTTTCTTCCACTGATCTTTTTCATTCTCCTGCTGGAACTGTTCAATTAACACTTTCATTAGATACATCTCTTGAAATGAATTCCAATTTGAGCTCAATACCACAACCGGCTACTAAATCTTCATCGATATCTTCTGAAGTTGTTTTGCTTGATCCAATTGAGTATTCTAGAATTGAATTTCCTGATATCAATGTGATGAATGAGAATCACAAAATGGTTTGTGAGTACTTTAATTCGGAATCTTACGAGCCTAATTTAGTAGGATCATTGCCATTTCTTCACCTTGGTGGTTCTCCTCAAGTTGTTGATTGTGAAATGACAATGAATTCGTCAGGCGAGAATCACGAATCCGTTATTTCTCCGAATGAGAGCAATCACAATTCTAGGTTTCCTAGCTCTACTACTACAAGCTTAAGCGATGATAGAAACTCGAATGATTCTGTTGAGAAAAAGAGTAATTTGAGGAACGACTCGTCGAATTCTTTCAACGTGTTAGTCTCGGTTGAAGATAATCAGAACTCTGTTGCTTGTCCAGATACTCCAACTTCCAAGAAAGAAAGTGAAGGTGGAAATGAAAACCAGGAGCTAAAATTCTTAAGCAAGGAAATGGAGACTAATAAGGGTATCAATCTAGATGCTGCAAAATTCGGTCAAGTTTATTCTGTTCCATCTCGAAACATCGATATGGAGGCTGAACAATCATCTATGCAGCAACAAATAGTTGATATGTATATGAAAAGTATGCAACAATTCACCGAGTCTTTAGCGAAAATGAAACTACCAATGGACCTTGATCATAAACCTAGTAATGAAGATCAAGGTGATGTGTTTCAAAATCACAACAACAGCAAATTAGAAGCTGCTGACAAGAAGAAAAGCGACGGGTCGCGTGTGTTTTATGGTAGTCGAGCGTTCTTCTAGTTATCTCTTGAGGGAGCAGCTACATAACGAAATGAAACTTCAGTTTAATGTGACTTCAGGTGCTATAGTTTCTTTGATGATATATATATAACAGCTTTTAATTAATCATATTTTGTTTAACCAATTTTCTATTGTACTGCAGCATTGTATTGTATCCAGAAAAAAAAAACCTCGATGACTATTCAATATTTATATGATTCTCTGTAGTGTGATCATTGGAGTGCTATTGTAAGTTTCCTGTGCCATTGAAATCAATGAGCATTTTGAGATGTTTTTATGTTCTATGTACTAAAATTCTGAAACTTCATTGATTGCTACTATGTAATGATAGCAATAGTAAATCATTTTATGGTGAAGTAAATTGCAAGAAAGTAGCTATTGGTATAAACAAGTGAAGTATTAGATTTTTAAGTTAATGCTTTATTTTGAAATGATTGGTAAGCCTTGCTAGAGAAAACCTTGGTGTAACGCTTAGCCACACTTATAATAGTATGTTTTTGTGTGCGAATTCGATATTCTAACACGTAATTGCAGAGAAAAATCTTTCGAACGGCTCAAACAATAGTGAGCCGCAAAAGAAGTATCATATCTACACAAATTCTAAACTTGTGTTGTGGCTTTGTTTTGGGACAAAGAAGGGTCCCATATCACGTCATGAATCATGATGAAAATTTGAGAAATCTGAGCCGGGATATTGTAAATCTGGTGAGTGGTAGGGTAAGTTTTGCACCAAGTTTGTCAGCAATTGTGTAATGGTTTCCGAAAGGAGTGAAAGAAATGTACTCAGTGATAGGCGGAAAATGAAACCAAAGATTAGGAATCCAAAGAACTAATTAAGTTATAGACAAAGCTGCAATTACCGCCCTTTAAATGAAGCATTTTATATTTTAAGTTTGTCAGTACATCTTTCAATCTTTCAGTTCGGAAAAATAAACCTTGATTTATCAAGTTAAACTCAACTTTAGTAAATAGGATTGATAAAAAAACCGTTGAACTGAATCAAATCGTCGAACTAAATCAAATCAAACTGAAATTAAAATAATTGAATTATTTTATTTGATTAATAAACCGAATTATATTGTACAATTAGTTTTAGAATTGAACTGAATGGCAAATAAACTAAATTGAAACTGAAAATATAAGTTTAAAAACAATTTACATTTTTTATTAAAACAAATTGGAAAAATGGTATGATGGATTTGTTTCTTTAACAAATGATTTAGTTTGGATAAAACTTTCTTCTAACTATTTGGTATAGTTTGGAATTTGGAATGAGTACATCAAATTAATTAATTTAATTTGGTTTGTTTAAAAAATTAAATAAGCATAATTTCATTCTAATGATCTTTTACTATAATCGGTTTTCTAACTATATGTAGCATGAAGAACTCTACTTTAAAACATTTTTTATAAGAGCCAATGGCGAAATAAATGATCTATTACCTAGGGTGTACAAAACAAGACCCGGTCTTCTAATCCATCCCGTTCAAAATAATAATAAGCCAAATTCTCATTTAGTCTCGAAATAAAACTTACACAAAATTATGAAACAAGAATTAAAGGTAGAGGAATTCGCGGTTCGATTTGAATCGATTTTAAAATAAAAATTCATCTGATCTAAAGATAAATTTATTTACGATTCGATTTGATTTTAAATAATATATTAAAAAAAATTCAATTCAATTCAATCCAATTTTATGCGATTTAATTTAGATCGATTTTTGAATATTCAAATTACATATTATATTTTTATTAATATTATAAAACTATTAATAAATTATAAATTTAATATAATATATAACATATAGTATATTAAAAGTTAATATTATAAACTGAGAGTAATCGATTATAGTTGAAATAATAAAAATAAATAAATTATATCAAACTAATAAATATTATTAAAAAAGTTATTATCATCTAATAATAAATTCATATAATATATCATATTAATAAAAAGTAAATAAATATAAAAATATATGTATGCGGTTCGGTTTGGTTTGGATCAGATTTAAAAAATTTATCTGAAATCCGATCTGAATCGATCGATTTTCATAAAATAACATTCAAACACATTTAATAAATTTCAGTTTTTTAAGATTTTCGATTTTTTGAATCGATTTTCGATTTTTTATTTGAATTGATTTGAATTTAAACACCCCTAATCAAAGATAATTAAAATAAAAATATATTATAATTATCTCTCAAATTGCTCTCGGCTTGTCCTCCCAGACCCATATAAAATTTGAAAAGAAAACATTTTTATATTTCATTCGTTTTAAAATGAATTTTGTGTTAAAAAATAAAATTTATTTTAAAATAAATGTTATTTTTTTTAATATAGAAATGATAATTATTCTTTGAATTGTTTTATTTAATTATTACTTTATAAAATTAATTTAGTAAAAATTTAATGTCTTGATAATATTATTATATTCTTTATTTTATATATAAAAAATTTAAATAATATTCATTTGAAACAGAGAGTGGTATTTATTTTTTATTTTTGTAATATAGAAGACAAACTATTAATTTATTTGTAAGACACTGATGCCACTATTTTTTATTAGTTTATAAGATAATGTTTATGTTTGATAATTAATTTGTTAATTAATTTGTATGATAATTAATTTTTACAATTATGCATCGACATTTTAAGGTGTTTAGTTCTATTTGTTTCCTCCTAGTCAAAATATATCAAACTAACTATAGGTATATGCGATCTAGCATATATAAATTTAGACTAGATTAGATTTTATATTAAATAGAAAAAAATTAATTTTTTTAATAAAAATATTTGGTTAAAAAGACTAGACTATAAACTAGAAACTTTTTTTTTAAATTTAACTGACAAATTTATTTAAATACAAACATAAATTGTATATATTTTAAGAGAAAAAAATACTAAGAACAATGTTATTAGTTATTTTTATAAATTTTTTAAATAAATAATATCATAAAGTTTATATTATTAAATAAATATATAAATAAATATTTAGTCTAACTGATCTTATAATTCATTAGTGTATTTAAATACTAGTTGAATTATTTATTTATAATCGTTTAAATATAATAGACTTCATTCGAAAATATCAAACTCAAACTTAAAAATTAACCTATAATAGATTATAGACTAGACTTAAACTTTAAATTTGTTAACATGTTAAGCTCAAGTTTCGCAAAATTAGCTCGATCCAATATATTTTCAGCCATGATAAAAATTAATATCTTTTGTATTGTTTCGTTTTTGTTGGATTTATAACTCATCGAGTTTAGAGAATTTCTTTCTCCACCTTGTTATATTGAATTATACCACTGAAAATTCAAAAATACTCTTCGAATGTACATATCCGAACACACTTTGTGAATTTGGGATATTAGGTTATTTCGTCTATATTTCATTTTCAGGGAGATTTCATATATGTATATCCGAAATAATCCAATATTCTAAATTTCTTTTGATTTTATTTTGATTTTATTTTGAAAAAATATTTATTTTTAATATAATTATAATATAATTAAATTGAGTTATTATTAATAAAGAATAAGTTAAATTTATAATTAAAAATTAAATGTTAAAATAAATTTATGATATGAAATTAAACAATGAATATAATAATTGAATTTTTAATTATAATGGTGAAATGTAATTGTCTTTTAATTTTTTATTTAAAATTATGAATAATTTTTGATAAAAAAATATAAGAAATATTTTTTAATTGTAACTTTGAAAACTAAATTTAATCTAGATGACACTTTTTAGTTTTTATTATAGAATTGATAATTAATTATTATGTTGTAATTAGAAAATTTATAATCATCCTCTAATGTCAGAAGTGATCTCAAACATTTTTATAAATTTTTTGATAATTTTTTAAAACAGAAAAGTATTTTTAAACTAATTAAAATCACTCAAATAAATGGAAAAAATCAAAAATAGTAAAAATCAAAATAACTATAGAAAAATTTCAGAAAGTCAAAAAACAAAGAAAATGATTTTCATGAAAAAAATTTAGAATTTAAAAATACAAAAAAATATTTTTAAACAATTAGAAACAAGTCAAAATAAAAGAAAAATTCTAAAAAATACCAAATCTGAAAATAAAATCACGAAGAAATAAAAATCAGAAAGAGAATATTTAAAAATATTTTTGCGAATTTTTTTCATAATTTTTGAGTCAGAAATGAATTTTCTTTGTTTTTTTGAAGTTTGATGTAAAAAATAAAATAAAATAAAGTTTAAAAAAAATATGGACCATTGGATGAGAGGCAAAACACGCCAGTAATCAGATCCAAAGGACCAGGCACACTGTGCATATCATGGTCAACTTTGAAAATTGCACCTGATCACCTTTTAATAATTAAAAAACAACTAAAATTCTGACGCGTTGGATGGAGTCTGACTAATAGAACTAATCAGATCCAAGGGCTCTCAAAACGCGCGTATGATAAAGCAAACACACTGTATAGGATTAAAAAAAATTACATGTCACACCCTCATTGGTTGAAGCACGACACGTAGGTCGTCTTTAACCTCCAGACGCCCTAGATTGAGGTTCCACAAACTGTAAAATTAGAGGACCAGACCGGTACCATTAGATTCGTCTCTTCATAACGATTCTAATGGTACCCTCACGCCAAATTTATATAAATTGAGCAAGGCTTGAATTGAGAAAAAGTAGAAATAATAGTGAGCACGAAATTCTCTAATATCTCACTCAAATCTCAATGAAATCATAAATTATAAGAAAGAATCAGAAGGATGAGGAGAGTAGATTAGTCTTTTATTTGGATTGATTTGACTAAGAAATATACCTGAACGAAGTAGCAAAAAGTTGCTCTGAAACTGGACTTCTGTAGCTCAAAATAGGCCACGATTCTTGAAGGTAAGAGTATGGTTAGCTTCAAAGAAGTTCAATGGAGCTAATTGAATGGAGTTTTTAGTGTTTTGAGGTGAGAATGAAAGAAATCAAAAATTCAAATTCAGAGTTCGTGTGGGATAT